ATGCGTGCAGCTCCCACTTGGACACTCCCACAGTCAAAGCAGTGTTGGGAATTGTCCAAAGGACCCTTTATGGACCTTTCGTGGACAGTTGAGAACATTGCTGTCACACACGAGGAAGCGACGATGATTGATAAATAATTACTTGATCGCCATCGGCGGCAACACTGCCCACAACCGTCGGTGGAATCTTGATTACTGTGGATCTTTGTGGTGAGTGGATGGATGCAAAATTGCTAAGCAAGACATTGTATCTTCCGAAGGGAGGATCGCGATGGTTCACTAGAGTGTATCTTGGAATAGATACAGAAGCTGATGAAGTGATCCTTGGGAATGGCAATGGTGTCTTTAAGGTGCAGATTGTGAAGCGGAAGCCTCCTTCTCAACAGTGGAACGCCGCAGGTGTCGTCAAATCAGCAAAAACCCGAGGCAAAGAGAGAGTGCCGCCGCACAAGACTTGTTGGAGAATGATCGCGCCGACCGTGCTCCCGCACGGATTGACAACGACGCGCCTGAAGCGAGTGTTGAGGCGCCCCGGAAAAGTGCCAGGATTGATCCTGATGCTCCTGCGAGTGAGCCTTGGAGAAAGCAAGTAAGGATTTCTGCTGTAGTCCGTCATCTGATTGCAGGCGCGATCCCTGCTTGCAAATGTCTTGCTTCGATTGTTGGAGTTGACGAGGCTGTTGGACATTGGAAAGGATTAACCAAGATTGATGTCGAAGTGAATGCGAGGAAGGAGAATTCGATCAAGAAATGCGACTCTCTGAGCCACTGCATGGGAGAGTAAGTTTCCTCCTGAGGCAGAAAGGAAGGGAATGATGAAGGAGATGAGTTCAGTGAAGAGCTTCGATGTCTATGATGCGTTGAAGGTAGAGGATTGCACCCGCGATCAGATTGATGAGGACCTGGACTTGCAACCTACGTGGCTACGGGGACAAGTGTTTTCGCGATGTGGACCAAGCCACATTGAGAGGATTGATGGATGGCGAGACATTGCGAGCAGCGTTATCGTGTGCCACGCCCAGACTCATTGAGTACCACTTCTCTCAACGGGGACCAACGTTGGCCAGCCAGTCAGGCCCAGATCCCTCATCGTTTGGCCGATATTTATTGGTCCGCATCTCGCGTTGGCCAGCTATTAATTATGCATCAGAATCATTGAGATGACAGGCCAAATTCCCAGCATTGGCGTTGTTGCGTCATGGGTATTGCGCGCGCCCAGCATTGGCTGGATGCAGGCCAACTGCACTTACGGAGCACGACTTGGACTTTATTGGCGTCAGACCCGAATTGAGGACCCGGGTTCATGCGGTGGAACGGACATTGAACACCCAGGGCGTGCTGGAAAAGATGATAAGACCGATGCCAGACGGCATTGAGCAGCCGCTGTTCATTGACGGCAACTGGGTTAAATTGCTAACATGTTTCTATGTGGGATTGCCTGAGACCCTCTGACGGATATGGTCCGAAGCCGGGTCACTATGCCCAGCTATTGAGCGAGGTTCTGGTAGAATTGCCAATGTACCAATTCAACACGTGGCGTTCGGTGACCATTGCTTGCGCAAAAACTGAGCCATTGGGGCCATCAAGGCCATCTGACCGCGTACAGCCAGTGACATTGGCACCGAGATGGCAAGCAAGGCAGGCGGCAAGGCAGAGGAAACCGGACACAACGTTGGTCTCTCTTCGAATGGTTGGGGACGTTGATTGCAAAGCCATTGCTGCACGTGAATCAACGACTGCTTCTCAGGATGAGGTAGTGCATCATGTATTGAATGCAAGACGATTCTGGAAAGCTGATTCGTGGACTGTGATTGTATAGATCATTCTGTGGATTGCAGATGATGGCCCCACTGCTGTGCATTGGCCTGCAACTTGTTTCCAGAGAGTATTGGCACGATAGCCGGTTGCCAAAAGACCAAGCACTGCTGAAGATTGCGGTTGTGCAGCTCATCACTCTGAGGTTTTCAATCATCAGGGAGTCGTATGAAGCGCATTGGCTCTGGCCAAAGGTACAACTGTTCGAAGCATTGCACAACGCTGTTCTTGTTGTTGGTACTGTCATTGATTCTTTTCAAGACTTGCAGCGAATGGTGCGTGAAAAAGACATTGCAGAACTTTGCATGTCCAGGGGACCGTGTCAGATGAAGCAACATTGCACAGTTCGTACTTGGTGCATGCCGAACATTGGCACATGCCGACATTGGCTCAAGTCGCTGCCAAAAGATTGAGTCCGACAGAGTCCGGATTGCAAGGGATTTGATTGTCTGCTGAGCATTGCTATTACACTGTCACACGCGTACAAAGTATTGTACAAGTCTTGGCAGTGAAGCTTTCTATTCAGCCGGAATAATTTTGAAGTACCCACCCTGCCCACCTTGGGGAGAGATAGCCAAAAGCTAGCGATCTACACCAGGCTATATGGGGTTGGTGCCACCCATCCATGAAAAAATGGTCTCTGCAGTGCTGGCCGTGTTGCGTACTCCGCGGCCGTCGCTCGGCTAGCTCGTATTCTTTCGCCCTGCTGCTATGATGGCGGTGCCAGGGATGGTGGTGGGTGTGAAAGCGCGGCGAGAAGGAGCTGCGGAGGATCTGGATCTGCAGGGAGCGGGAGAAGGGAGGGGACAACAGAAACAGCGAGCAGGGGCAGGTGGAACGGCAGGGGTCTTAAGAGGTATTGTGTTTGGCCCGACGGGCACAGATGCTGAAGGAGAAGGAGGCAAAGGATGAGAAAACAGGGAAGGGCAAGAAGGGGAGTATGGGAGGACTGGCACCCGAAACGCATGTAGCAACAACTGCCCCGCTGTGTGATATGCAGTCACGTTTGTTTGTTGGCAAGCAACAAGGACTCTTGATCGTAACCGAGAATGCACAAAATTGCATGAAATGTGTTGATATGCTAGCCTCATTCTCGTCATTGGTCCGTGGCTGCAGGTCACCTCGCTTGAATTTGTGCTACCCCCTACCTTTACCATAAGGTCCGGGGTTGGGATTCCGATTGCCTTTGTGATGTTGCGTGGCCCACTAAGGCCATGCCAGATGACCTCCACTTCGCTATGTCAAACTGACCGTAGATTTTTGGATTCCATATGGGGCGGACCTTTCGCGCCCAGACGGTCTTTGAGCGCACGATTGCCTAATCGCATCTTGGAAAGCATTCGAGAGACACGATAAATCCCCCAATGATGTCGAAACGGTGTTCAGTTCTTTTGCTTGGAATAACTTGGCCAGCTAAGGACAAACAGTTTGTGGGAAACCAGCAAATATGAGGAAATCTGAGGCTTGTTTTGCATGGAATGGCCAACAGAGGTGTTACTCGACCTCTAGTGGTTTGCTCGTTCACGGTCTGTGTGTTCCGGGTGGTACTGCGTCGCGATGCTCTGCAGGCTCTGCTAGCATCGCAGCCACTGCTCGCAATGCCTTCTCCATGTTGGCCTGCCGTGCTTGTCCGGGGAAGCATCGCTGAGAATACCCTGCCGCCAATCCAGCCGGTCATCGCATCCCAGCTCTCGGGCAGCCATTCGTCCCAGTCTCTTGTAAGTTGCAATGGCAAGCCGTCCTGCTGGTGCGCAATGTGAGGAAGGCCTTGAACATGCGTTTGACATATCCTGCCCCGGGCAGCCGCAAGAACGCGACATGATTCATATTCGCATTCGGTCGTACATGTCGAGATTTTTATAGATGATAGCTCCTGATGTCTTTGCTGGCCTCCGGCCTGCGAAAGGTGCCACGCACTGCGGTGGCTCCGCACACTTGCATGATTTTGCACGAAATGCCGCTACCCAAGGCAGCCGCTGGAAACGTCATAGACTTGTCTTCGTCAGAGCAGCTTGCAGCTTTTCTGATACCAATGAAGGTTACCAGAGAGTCAGCCGGTGGCTGTTCGGTCAGCACACAAGCCGTGCCAGCGTCGAGGCTCCTAAGCCAAATGCTGCTTCACCGCCCCTGTCCGTGAAGCCTCCGTGATAAGCCGAGTGCTACGCAAGAAACTCGCGGCTGTCCGGCGCCTTTCCTTTCAATGTCGAACTGCTGCGGCAGTCACTGTCCCAACAAGGAGCAACTTGGTGCCAGGGATCCTAACAAGGGAGATTATCCGTGGCGGCACAGCACCTCGCATGTCCCTTGCAACGCCCGCCAGTGCACGTGAGTCCTGCAACTTGGCAAGTCGTACACTCTTTATCCCATTCACGGAGCTTCTAGGAGCTCCCAGCTTCAAGTTCAAGTTGCCCGCAGAGGACGGACGAATCGTCGCATCGCAGCCAGCTGCCAGCTGCATGCGCGGCTTCGTTCCCCATCTCCAGTTCGTTGCAAAGCAACCTCTGCAAAGCAAGCAGCGACTTAGGTGCCCAAGTCAAGCTGCCACCCTTCTAGCTCTGCATCCGCTCAGAGTCTGCGCGATCATTTGCTAGTGCACAAGCTGAGGAGCTGGGGTTTTCTTTGACTTCTGTGCCTTCGGGCTTCTCGATTTCGAGGCTTGCCACGAACACAGCGGCTGTGGCTCGTGCTCGTGCTTGGCCCGGGCAAGCGAAGGCACTGCAAGTGAGTCGGCGTGTTGAAGGTTCAAAGGTGCGGGGGCAATGACATGGTAGCTGGGGAGGCTCTCACTGAAGCTGGTGGCTCTGTGGTGTCCAGCAGGGTTCCCGAATAGACACAGCATGCCTGCTCTCCGCGGTGCTGGACGGTAGCCATACGCTACGGGAGAGTCTAGGTGCAAGCCGACCTGCTTGATCACGCTGCCAACTGCACTGTGCGTATTTGCCTCAAAAGCAGTGAGAATGGTCTCTCCGCTTTGCAGCTTCCCCTCTTGATGCTCTTGCTGGCCGGTGTCAGCGGTGCCGTCCGTGCAATTTCCTCAGTCAGAATCTCCTTGAGTTCCCCGATGACTTGCAGTGCACAGGAAGCTGGAAAGCGAGAAATGCATCCCGCGTGCCCTCTGACTGGAGAGCACTCTCTCGGGGCGTTCCCAACATGTCACGTCGACCCTCTCCTAGGCGGTGACCTCCATGAATACTGCGGAGCTGTTTGGTCAAACGTTCTCACTGTCCCTGATGGACTGCACTGCGCATTTGCCTCGAAGCAGTGAGAATGGTCTCTCCGCTTTGCAGCTTCCCCTCTTGATGCTCTTGCTGGCCGGTGTCAGCGGTGCCGTCCGTGCAATTTCCTCAGTCAGAATCTCCTTGAGTTCCTCGATGACTTGCAGTGCACAGGAAGCTGGAAAGCTGCACAGGAAGCTGGAAAGCTTGCGAGCGAGCACTTTTTCAGCTTCGGACAGCATGACTTAGATGAGTCATAGTGACTTAGTGCCTGTGCTTTGAAGTTGCCCATTTTGCAAAGGCTTGTTCCTGTGAATAAGCCAATCAAGTGCAGCATCTGTCCTCGGCGAGACCTCGATGGTCGCTGGAGACGACATGTCCGCTTGTGAAATCAACTCTCTACCATCGAGAAATGCATCCCGCGTGCCCTCTGACTGTAGAGCACTCTCTCGGGGCGTTCCCAACATGTCACGTCGACCCTCTCCTAGGCGGTGACCTCCATGAATACTGCGGAGCTGTTTGGTCAAACGTTCTCACGGTCCCTGATCAACTGCACTGTGCGTATTTGCCTCAAAAGCAGTGAGAATGATCTGTCCGCTTTTCAGCGTCCCCTCTTGATGCTCTTGCTGGCCGGTGTCAGCGGTGCCGTCGGTGCAATTTCCTCAGTCAGAATCTCCTTGAGTTCCTCGATGACTTGCAGTTTAGAGGACGCTGGCAAGCTTGCGAGCGATCTCGTTGAAGGACACGGTCACGCCAGGGCCATTGCGCCTCCACCCATCCTGGCATACGGAGATACCTTGTCATCTGTCGGTCTCAGCGCGGGCTTCTCAACATTGCTGCTGAGCATCTTCTTCGATGTGAGATGCTTGCAACTCTCAGTCGCGACCAAAGATCCACAAAAACTCTGCCTGCAATGCCAGTCGTGCAGTCGTGCTCCCTGCCTGTTGTAGGCCACGGCTCCCGGCGGCTACACGGGCGCATGGCTAGATCCGTGTGCAGCAGCTCCCCCGAAAAGCAAGTTTGGCCTCTTCGGTGACTTGCTGCGGACCACCTTGGTAGAAATGATTCGGGGATGCTTCCATGCCGCGTGTGCTTGTTGTCCAGCAACTGTCAGCTCTCCACGAAGATGCCACAACTGCCAGTATGTCATGCCTCACACAATTGGCTCATGCGAGCAAGCCTTCTTGACACTCCACCCGATGTGAGAAAGGTGTTCTGCAGAGAAGCATGCGCTTGTCCCAAGACGCTGTGGGTTTGTGGTCTTTGCGCTGTTCGGCGTGCGTGCTGAGCTCAGCTGTGCATCAGTACATACAAACAGGCTGATCAAGCAAGTTCGCACTGAGTACTCTTGCGAGAGGGTGCAGCTGTGTCAGGCACATGGCATCATTGTTGTGCAGCAACTGTCAGCTCTCCACGAAGATACGACTGCGCCAGTGAGACGCCGAGACTACCAGTGCCTCCACGGACCTGCACAAGGCAGAGAGCAACGAGTAGATTGCAGCAGGCATCTTGCGTGGCAAACACTGCGGACCACCTGGCCCTCCAGGCCTCATGTTGTTTCGGGCGCTTTTGAGGTGTGTCTGAGCATCGGCGCACATGGGTGTGCCTTTTTCATGATAGGTCTTGACTGCACGTCCGTCTTCCCGTATTCCGTGCAAAAGCGAAGTTGTTGTGTTTTTGAAGCGACCGAGCAGGCATCAGGATGTCGAGCAATCTCGTTCTGGCATGCTGCATCTTGACGCTGCGCCTGGCACCGACGGTTTATCATGCTCGTCGCTGCTTCAAGCCACTGTCTGGCACGACTTGTGCGACTAAACTTCCTCAAGGCCCATTCCTCGCAGTGACCACATTGCAACTTCTGGCCACTTCCTGATAGCGGGGATGGTGTAGTAATTAGCAGCCGGCTGGCTCTCAAGATACACTCCGGCGAAGCAGCGTGGAGCCCGTGCAGCGAGGGGATAGCTCCTCTGTGTCTGGTGACGTCGTCTCGCCCCCATAAAGACCGTGGAGCAGGACGCAGGATAGCCTGCAGCACCTCGCAATGCAGTCTGTGCCAATGTCTCCCCACCAGTTTAGACACTCAGCGACATCAAACAGGGAACAGCCCACAGGTCGCTTCTGGCCACTTCCTGATAGCGGGGTTGGTGTAGCAATTAGCAGCCGGCTGACTCTCAAGATACACTCCGGCGAAGCAGCGTTGAGCCGTGCAGCGAGGGTGCGAGGTTTTCCTCTGCCTTGCAATCCTTTGGCTTCGCAGCTGGAGCGCCAGCTGGTTGGAGCTCCAGCGTGGCCCACGCCTTGCTCTTCTATGTTGAAAGCTCCCCTGTGTCTGGCGACGTCGTCTCGCCAGCATAAAGACCGTGGAGCAGGACGCAGGATAGCCTGCAGCACCTCGCAATGCAGCCTGTGCCAACGTCTCCCCACCAGTTTGGACACTCAGCGACATCGAAGTGGCCACAGCACACAGGTCTCACAAATGAGCTCATGCGAGCATAGCTTAGTTTCGTTCACATGGCTGGATGCACTCGCCTGCATCGAGATTTCGACATCCGCTGTCTGCTGCACCCGTTATGCAGACTTTGGCAGATCGGTGAGCGCTCTGTTTGTGTTGTGAGAGGTGTAGGCGTATCATTGCGGCACGATTCCGCCGAGACGTATGGTCAACGCGGCAGGAGGTATATAGCTGATCAGTTCATGGAGGCAGTCGCTCAGGGATTCTGTGCACCGATGGGAGTTCACGCACGAGACTGTCCCTTGCCGTGCTGACTGGCTGTGCTGAAATGCAAACGGATCTGAACGCAAGACATCAGCGATGGCCTTCGAACTCCATCGGCAGTGCCGCGCAGCTCTGATCTCGTGCGAGGAGAATGCTCTTGTGACACTCATGTCGCGTGCGTCCGCATGCTCCCCATAAGAAGAGAGTCGGCCAGTGCTTCTTTCTTCCAGTCTCTGCAGAGCCTTCGAACGCGCGATCCAGGCCTTGTCTAAAAGCTTAGGAAGGGTGTCATCGTCTTAATCCAGCGGCTTTCGGTAAATGCTTTTCTCTCAAGCAGACACGGGCGCCGCATCGAGCCTTGCGGGCGTTGAGACTCGTGCGGATGCTGCGTCCTTCACCGCTTTTCTCGGAACCCTTGGCAGGGCCATATTTTGTGCGCTTCCTTCCCCGTCTCCTATGGCTGAGTGACGTTTACTGTCGCATCCCCGCTGTCCATCAAGTCTTGTGCCTGTGTGTCACTGCACCCCAAGCGCGGTGGTGTTGCGGGTTTCTCGCTTGTGTTAGTACAGTCTCGATGCACGAGCAGGTGTTGGGGTCCGTTAAGGCCTGTCAGCTCCGCAATCTGATTTCGTGCTGACGATGCCTGCGGAAGTTGCCGAGGTCCTCCTGGACGCAGCGTAAGTAGCCAGCTGTGCGCACGGCCGTGCGCGCACAGCCTCAGTGCTCACAGCGCAGCGGAAGCACAGCCGTCATGACCCGCATTGCCGCATCGTGTAAAGGAGGGAATGTCTTCCTACCTCAACGGGGTTGACATGAGCAGGAGAGCACGCAAAGCGGGCAAAGCAGGCAAAGCAGCGTTTCTCTCCGGCAGAAGCACAGGCTCGCTCCTCGCGGTCGCGGTCTTCCCTGACCGTGGCCATGGCCATGGCGGCTGCGAGAGACCGCTGCGACTGTCTTGCAAGCCTTTTTTGCGAGGCTCCGCCGGCTTGCAGGATTGCCCGGTTAGCCAGCGGTTGACTCTCGCCGTGCCGATGCCCATCGAGGGTCAGGGAGCCTTATGGATTTATGGCTTCACCGAGCCATGAAGTTTAAGGGATTATCTGAAGTTCTCCATCCTCCATCGCTCTCGATGGACTCCGGCATTCACTGTAAAGCATGCCGTGGGGCAGCATTGCACACACCTCGTGACTTGAAGTCTGCATGTCCGAGAGCTGCCAGGATGTGTCCGTGCTTATTATGTTCTGTGCTCGCGGAGCTCTTCCATGGCTGAGCCCTCCTGCAATGATGTGATTCGACTAGATTTTGAGCCACTCAATAACAACAGGTTGCGATGCGTCACAGGCAGACATAAGGAACAAAAAGTAAACCCAAGCCCCGTGTTATCTGCCAGAGCATGCTAGCAAAGTTAAACTTTCCGGTGTGCAAGATGCTGCAAGACTGGTTCGTCGAAGCTTCGCAGGCCGATGGTTCGCAGTGCGATTGCGACTTGGCAGGTACGTGCCTCCCCTGCGGATGCTCGCATCTTGCTGGCTGACCCTGTCTCGGATCTGAGCAGATAAGTTTGAGAAGCCGGCCAAGTGGCGCTCGCTGTGCCCACGAGCCTTGGCCGTTCGGAGATGCGAGGGCGAAGAGGGCGAACAGCAAAGCATCTTTCGCTTTGAGGGCTCACCTCGCCTCGCCTTTCGCCCACAGCAGCTGACAACCAGCGCCGACAGCTCGCTGTGACAAAGGCTGTTTGGCTCGCAGCGCTGCTCCCATCGCAATGCAGGAAACGGAAGGAAGCTTTGCCCTCGGCGTTGCCATACTGTGTATCAGCCCTGGCCTTGTGCACCTGGTCCACTCTCTTGACGGTCCGTTCCCCGCCCAACAGCTTGCGAGGGGTGCCAATTTCCGCCTTCTTCGCAGGAAAGTCATGATCCTCGCCCGTCACAGCGAAAACGCTGGCAGCAGCTAGGAGCTTGCGGAGGGTGCGATCTCCGGGACCACGGCCTTTGCCACCCGAGGCCGCAGCCAAAACATGCCGCAGCGCAGCTGCCCGTGAGGGGCACAGCGAAGAGGAGCACCAAATGCAAAGTTCGAGCACTCAGCTGACGGGTCTGCACCTTTTTCAGTGGCCGCCTGCAGTCACCTTGACAGTCCCGGCCCGGAGCATGGGCGTGAAGTGAGAGGCCTCTGCATTGAGTCTGCATCTGTGTCCCCGTCAAAGCATGACCCATGACTCCACGCAGGAAGGTGACGCTCTGTATGCGAACTTGAAACCAAGCCTGTTTTCTCTGTAGAGGAGCTCTGTGGTGCGAGGAAAACGAGTTAGCAAGGCACGCTTGCAAAGTTTTTTCCAACTGCAAGCCTCCGAGAGTGTAAGCCAGTGTAAGCCCCATCACGCCCGTGCATGTAGCCAAAGCATGTGCTGCGTAGGCAGCGCTGCATTAAATGGCGTTGGTGAAGTTGGCCGGTCTGCACACGTCTCGCTCGGTCCGGCATCCAACCTGAACCCGCCGAGATGACCCTGGCACTGGTGGTGCAATTCTGCTTTCGCCTTCTTCGCTTCTCTTGTTCTCCCCGTCCCGGCCTAACACGATGCAGCCTCGGGATGTTTGTTTGTTGTTACGGGCCTTTTTTGAGCAAGGCCAGTCTCTTTCCGCGATTCGTTGCTCGTTCCGAGCAGCCTTCATGCATACACCATCGTGTTGCCTCGGCGTGTAGGGAAACTGGAGCTTAAGCGAAGACAAAGACCGCGGAGCTCTTGAGCTGGACTCAGAGATCGTGATGGTCCCGAAAAGTCGAGCTCCGGCCATGTCTCGCAGTTGATGGTTCCCATCCAACGTGCCAATCCCCATCCAACCCTGTGGCTGCACCTCAAGAGGAGCTCCTCTGGAGGTAATGTTTTCGGGCTGAGTTTGACTGCGACACCTGCCACTCCATGAACAGCCGTCTTGGCTCTTGCATGTAATTCGCGACGGTCTGAGTTGGTGAGGGACTCTCAGCTGCTCTCCACTACCCATTTCTGGACTCACTATGCTGATGGCAGTGGCCAGTGCTTTCGGTGTAAACTGCGAAAAGAAGGAGGCTGGCTGTGCAGCTCTCCGGGCCAAGCTTGAAATGCCTTGCATTTGCTCGGGCGGACATGCCAGCCTGCCTGTCCTAATTAGCTTAGGCGGGCATCGCAGTCATTCGTTTCAGAATCGGGGGCAGCAGTTGTTTTGTGAGCAGCGCCGTAAACAGCGACCTGTTCTCCGCCTAGGGGTTTTCAGAAGAGGATGCCGGAAAGAGGGCAGGCGCAGGTAACGCTGGTGTTTACTTCTCAGTTGTCTTCGGGAAAAATGGGAAAAATCATCATTGCCGGAAAATACCGCTTCTTGTGGTCTTCGCGCTGATATTATGAAGCCTCACGAAGGTCATGAGCAGCCAAGCAGCATACCAGTGTAACTGAACTCTTGCAGCCTCGGCGCCCAGGTGCTTTTCTTGCCTGCGAGCAGGTCAGGCTCTAGTTTCGCAGGCTAGCGGCGGCTAGCGTGACAAGGGCTGTAAGTGCGAGTTCCTGGCAAGCGTTGCTTTCGGCAAGTCTTGGCGATGCCTCCAGGTTGGGCAAGATGCCACCAGTCGCCGATTGCGGGCTTTTGTGTGGCGGCACGGGGCACTTGGCATGCACATTGCCCACATCAGTCAAAGTTGGTGCAAGTTTGCCTCACTGTGCGTGCTCAGCAGCATCATGGCAAAGGGGAGTCATTGTGAAGAAAGTGTGCTTCCATGCTTCGGCTGAGGCGGCGGGAAGTCGTCGCTGTAGTGGGACGTGTTCTCGTGCTGGTTGGAGGCTTGCTGTGCCCAAATGGGTAATGACAATGCCGGAGCAATGCAGCTGCCTTTGTGCAATCAGAAACGAAAGTGCAACAGTCATTGCAGACTCGAGCCATTGCACATTTTGCAATGTCTACTTGCAGGCACTTTGTCGCATTGGGGGTTGCTACTTTCAGGCCTAGATATTCGGAGCTGCAGAAGTGTGAAGCAGTTGTAGGAAAGGCGACAACCTGCATGGGTGTGATCCAGCCGACATCTGTGACAGTTTTTGCCTTCACACAATGTGCAAGGCCAGCTTGCGTAGGTCTGCTTCTTGCTTGGCCTATTGAGAGAGCTTGAGCACTCATGGCGCTTGTTTTCGAGCTAGAGTCATCGAGCTGTGTGAACATGAAGGTCTCGGCTACCTTTGGCCTGGCACGGCGTCACTAGC